AAAAATGTTCACAACACTAATATTTCACCATTCCATCAATGAACCTCGACCTACATTTCTGTTGAATATTTCAAGAATAAAAGTGAGTAAAACGTCTGGCAGTAAAATATGACAGGAGCCATTAACATAAAGTGTTGCATTATTTCTTTATTATATAAACAAATACATTCTGTATTAAAATAAAACAAAATGATTGCAAAGATTTGATTCATAAACAGATCTGTGCAAATTAAGTACAATTCACAAACCCTTTATAGTTTCTCCAGCCCATCGTTTATGGAAATGCATATACTTTTCACGAAAGGAAGGACAAGCATCGCACATATGTCTCATAATCGATCCCTCTGTTCATTCCTTTACTTCCTGATGCACAAAGAAAGACCATGAAAATGACATTTGATCGTCAAGCATGAAGTCACAGATGCAGATCAATAGACCTGCATTATGAATAATGGATTCTTGTATTAAATGCTTGTTCACATTAAAGTAGTTCTGTTCCTTTAACAGCGCCTCGAACGAGAGAAAAGCATTTCTATTGCATTGAATATTTCACCATGAATCAAATATCAAGCACTTAAAAGTCTGAGAAATATGAAAGCTGTTTATGCATAATTATCACCGTCTTCACTAGATCTGTGTTTTACGAGCTGCTTTGGAGCTCGAGCGTGTAAACAGTCGCAGGATCGTATAAAAACGTGAGTTTGAGGTCTCGTTGATGTTTCGCAGGAGAGGGAGAAATAAATACTCGTCCGTAAGAAGGCAATGTGGTGATCCGGTCCAGCAGACTGTGGAAAAGTGCTTCTGTCGTCCTGGAAGAAGCGAAACGTGATGAAGATCAAACGACGAGAAGAAAAGAAAAGACGGCCTGTTTGTTGCGTGAACTGAAATGTGAGATTTGGCGATGTTGAGTGACGTTACATTCCTCGGCTAAAAACTACATGCAAACAAGCACAACATGAAGACTGAAGCAAGATTTCACACAAAAATGAAGATTCTGTCATCAGATTTCCAGCATGGAATAAAATTGTTCTTTAAAAAAAAACATTTGAAAATAAATTTTTCTCCACTTGGAAAATTTGTATGCACTTTTATTTTTTTGGAAGATGTTCTTAAAAAAATGTGAAAATTAATTTTTCTCCACTTGGAAAATTTGTATGCACTTTTATTTTTTTGGAAGATGTTCTTAAAAAAATTTGAAAATTAATTTTTCTCCACTTGGAAAATTTGTATGCACTTTTATTTTTTTGAAAGATGTTCTTAAAAAAATGTGAAAATTAATTTTTCTCCACTTGGAAAATTTGTACGCACTTTTAATTTTTTGAAAGATGTTCTTAAAAAAATTTGAAAATTAATTTTTCTCCACTTGGAAAATTTGTATGCACTTATTTTTTTTGGAAGATGTTCTTAAAAAAATTAGAAAATTAATTTTTCTCCACTTGGAAAATTTGTATGCACTTTTATTTTTTTGGAAGATGTTCTTAAATTTTTTTTATTAATTTTTCTCCACTTGGAAAATTTGTATGCACTTATTTTTTTTGGAAGATGTTCTTAAAAAAAACTTGAAAATTAATTTTTCTCCACTTGGAAAATTTGTATGCACTTTTATTTTTTTGGAAGTTATCAAAACGTTTGCTATCTTTCATTGTTTCTCAATCTTCCCTTAAAACTCACTTTGAGTCGTTTTTACGTGATTGTAATTCTTTTTATTTCATATTATTCTTTCAATTGTTTCGTTTTTCTTTTTGTATTTCAATGCATTTGTTTATTTTTTTAAAGCGCTTTGAGATGCAACTTTTAAAGGCGCTATAAAAACTAAAGTTTATTGTTGTTGTTTGCACAATTCATCAGTGCATGTTATTCTAAAGAAAGAAATCATTTCTCATGAACAAATTAAATGTTTTCATTGATTAATGCAATTAACGCAACGATTAATGTAAAAAACCTCAACATAATCAAAAAATTGCTCAGGATCAGCAGAAGTGTAAATATGACACTGAAATAATCTAATTTGGATGATAGATTGGTAACACTTTACCATTAAGGTTTCATTTGTTTGCATAAACTAGCAATGAAAAATACTTCTAAAGCATTTAGAAATCTTAATGTAAACATTTATTAATATTATAAAATCAAAAAAAAATTTTTATTAACTAATGTTAGTAAAGATAAATATATTGTTTATAATAGTTAATGTTAACAAACGAGACTTTATTGTAAAGTGACTTTACAGATAACATAATATATAGATGTTTAACATCTCAACAGCCAATATAAGTTGTCTAAGTGGTTTTTAACAAATCAATAATTCATTTCATATTGATAATTTGCGGCCTTCAATTGTCTGCAATCTGTATTTACAGTTCATAAATCTGATTATGGATCATAAACCCAGCACAGATTACCAGATGTTAGGAAACTGGGTAAATGATGACAGAATTTTCATCAGAGGCTTAACTAGTCCCGTGAGGCCTGAGAGTTTAATCTCATTTATTGCTCAAAACTCTATTTCTCTACACTGTATGATTATGAAATATAATTCTTAAACTAAACCAGCTGCTGTACTCATTCTGAGATTACGAATAATTATGAGGATTTTTGCCGTTCATTATAATTACCGGTTTGAATATTAAAAGCATAAAAACTGTGACCTCATAAATTGGAAAAACTGAACAGTATAAAATAAACCGTCTCCTTCTTGACAAAACGAGCACGTCTGAGGCTTATGATGCTTTTTGTTTCTGGACAGTCGCTGTTGTGTAAAAGAGCAGCGTGAACATCCCGAGAAACGTCTTCTTTCGTGTTCCTCAGAAGAGATGACAGAATGATGACTTGTGTGTGTTTTTGCTGAGACGGTGATGTCTGGATGATGTCTCGTGTTCGTGAGTTTTCGTGAGTTTTCACGAGTTCAGAGCGAGGTCTCGCTGGTGTGCGGTCGAGACGTCTCCTCCTCCAGAAGAGCGATGCGCTGCTTCAGCATCCGCACCTGCGTCTCGTGCCGCTCCACCATCGCCATCATCTGAGACTCCAGCTTCTTCAGCTTGTTCTGGTGCTTCTTCTTGGCTTTCTCGTACGCCGCCACCAGATTACTGCGTGATACAAACACAGCACAGATTTAACTGCTCCATCACGACTCATCAGCTCCATCGCTTCAGCTCACTGAAACAAAAACTTCACGAACATCAAAAACACTGCCTTGGCAACTCACTGAAATAAGCTGAAGTACTAAAAACAAACTGTAATAAATATAAATTAAAGCTAAATAGAAATATAAACAAATATTAGATGGGGAAAAAAATTTGAAACACTTACTAAAAATTTACTAAACCTAAAACTTAAAAAACAAAAAAATTAACAGCTGAACAGAAATGTAAAACACACAAAAAAAAACGTATACACACACACACGCACACATATATATATATATATATATATATATACACACACATTAGTTTTGTTTTGTTCGTAAAAAAAAACAAAAACAAAACTAAAGCTAAATAGAATAAATAATGCAATAAAATAAATTTAAATGAAAATTAAAAATGTTACCTTGGCAACTAACTAAAATAAGCTGAATTACTAAAATTACTAAAACTAACTAAAATAAAAATATAAAAAAATGAATAAAAATGACAAAAGCACAAAATAAAATATAAATAGTACATGGAAAAATCCAGTGTTAAAAAAACGAATGAAAAATAGAAATGTTGCCTTGGCAACTAACTGAAATAAGTTGAAGTACTGAAAATAATTAAGGCTCAACAGAAATATAAAAAGTGAATATAAATGACGAGTGCATAACAAAAAAATATAAATAAAAAATAATAAAAAAAACAGAAATGTTGCCTTAGCAAGTAACTGAAATAAGCTGAAGTACCAAAATTACTAAAGCTGAAATAAAAATATTAAAGCGAAGATATATTGAAATAAGAAAAGAAAAAAGTACATAAAACAATTTAAAATAAAATTAAAACCGAAAATATTAAAATCAAATTCTAAATATGTGACCCTGTCTGTGAAAACCCAGCTAAAGTCATTTTTTGTGATTTACTGTTTTCTACAAAAATCATCTTTTATAAGGAAAAGAACATTCTGTGAAAATACAACATTTATATCTTTAATATTGACTGAGTAAGGCCATGTCAAAGATAGAAATCATAGTGAAATTAATGGTTGAAATCAAACTTTGATGCTTGTTATCTCATAATTATATTTTGAGACTTTAGCCTGGATTTCACAGACAGGGTCACATATTAATAAACAGTATAACAATATATAAATAACACTAAAATAACCCTGGTAAATGCAAACACACATTCAGCAGCAATTTTCCATCTGCAATAACAGCATTAATGGTGTTCGGTGACATTTGAGCAGGAGAGTTTGAGCAGCTTGTATTAACCGCAGAGACAAGCTGGAGGCGCTGCTCAGCCCAACACAAACATCCACCGCTCCACTGAATCTGTTTTCAAATCAGTCCAAACCTCCGAGACGTTTGTTCGTGTGTGTTTGGTACCTGTTTGCTCGTTTCAGGTCGTTAACGAACTCCGCCGACTGCTGATGTCTGACTTCACTGCTCTTAGTCAGGGTAAATGCAAACACACATATTCAGCAGCAATTTTCCATCTGCAATAACAGCATTAATGGTGTTCGGTGACATTTGAGCAGGAGAGTTTGAGCAGCTTGTATTAACCGCAGAGACAAGCAGGAGGCGCTGCTCAGCCCAACACAAACATCCACCGCTCCACTGAATCTGTTTTCAAATCAGTCCAAACCTCCGAGACGTTTGTTCGTGTGTGTTTGGTACCTGTTTGCTCGTTTCAGGTCGTTAACGAACTCCGCCGACTGCTGATGTCTGACTTCACTGCTCTTAGTCAGTCTTTCTAACGCCGCCACCAACTCCTGAACACGACCCTTCAGCTTCTTCTCTCTGAAAGACAGACAGAGACAGACAACAGACAGACGGACGGACGGACGGACGGACGGACAGACAGACGGACAGACAGAAGGACAGACAGACAACAGACAGGAAGGAAGACAGACAGGCGGACGGGAGAACG